TGCAGACTACAAAAAATCCAAAGACTTTCAAACGATTTTCCCAATGCTATGGACCGTGTAATATGTGTCATCTTGGTGTATACAAATGTATTGTAATTGTCAGAGTATAAGCCCCCCTCCAAATCTCTACAGCATTTTACAACTAGTCATTTAGTCAGGGCCATTTGATTTGTCTTTGCACAGTATATACGCAAACGTTAATGTACCTCCACTTTGAAATGTGTTTCGTGTAGTACTGGATTCTGTCCAGTAAATTTGCCCTGGGCCATTAAATAACATTAACATATTTAAATGAGCTATGGTATTCCACGTTGGCATCATCCATCATTTTTATTGGTTAATTAACAATTTGACGTATTAGGTCAACTCGTGCAAGAGAAAGAACATGGCGGATACCCGACAACATCGAGCATTTATATGCGACCGGAATCATTTGCTCACGATGAAACTAAATTGAATTTTATTTGCATTTTATAACGAATTTATTTTTTTGTACATCATTATAATCACTACTGAGTAATAATCAACAGTTGTGAAATGCAGCATGACCGGATTGCGCAACCGTGATTATTTGCTGCTACGCAATGCAGTTGTGTTAGTTTTTTTTTTTTCATTTGAAACCTCGTTTAGAATATACTTACGTTACCGGATTCGGCTGATTCCCCCCCTCTGGCGATCCTATAGAGGACTCGATTTTTTATTTAGAAAAATGTGGACCAAAAGAACGCCCGGGCGATCCTTTGGCAGATATTACGAGGCCCATCTTGTCTAAAAAATAACCCTGCGTTGATAGAAATGGTCTAGAAAAAATAATGTTTCGCGTTGACCAAATATAATCATGCAAAGTATAAATTCAAAGTGTTTTAATACATTGGTGAGAGGTCGAATTTTACATGAACAAGAACATGCACTAAGAAGGAAAAGCAAGTCAAAGTCGAAACGGGGTGCATCATGGACATGACACAACACACGCTGCGACAACTGAGTGATTAGCGACATAATTTTGGGACGCAATTGAACTTGAAGTACTTCTTTGCGAAACTTGCTGCGCGGTGATGCTGGCATCAAGTGTGTGTTAACCAAAGTCAATCTCTTTCCCAGAGGCCTTTGCTCTTTACGCAATAGTGGCTCTGCCACATGTAGCCTTCAATTTTGTGGTCAATCACCTCACTACGCACGGCCATTTTTCCGCGGTTGTTTCATTTGAAACCGAACTACAAAAAGTGGGAAAAAACGTATGTGACATCCGAACTATTTATTAATGTCAGACTTCAGTAAACACGTAAATACGAACCATTTTATCGCGGACTATGTTTTGCAAGGTAATGTTACTGTAGTGAAATGGCACACGTGATACACTAAAACTGGGGGGTAAAAACGTTCTGTTAACGTATATAGTTGGGAAAGAAACATTAAAGACTAATTTCACTGAAAGGGGTTTCCTAACAGTTCCGTTTATCTTGTATTCTGGTGAATATTTCAATAGTATTTCTGGCTTGAACGGGTTCGATTTTGCGCGTTTAACAGCCATAGAACACACAGGTTCTAGTAAGTTTATAAAGTTAGTCATTTATAATAGAAACTAATGCTTTGGCATGTAGAAAAGGATTGTACTTTTCTAACGCAAGTCATGTATATTTTAATCTAATTAATTGAACATTTTATTCGGAGTTAGGGCGTGAAACGTCTTATTAAAGTGATTAAAGTAACCAAGTGACTTACATGTACGCATAACTTTGTCCACCGACAGGGTCTTATAGTTCGAACATATTCGAATATGCAAATGAGTTCTATGCAAAGCTGCTTTGTGCAGTGATGATAAGTAATGCGTATCGAACTGTGCAGAGTTCGGACCAAAGTTTGACCCCAAGTCACGCGCTGAACTGGCGCGTTACCTTAGCAACCTTTTTCTCAGGGGGGGATTGGCACGAGAGGGCGCCATCCGATCTGAATGGAACGTTTCGACGTCAGTCGCCCGTAGCCCATCGGCAAACCAACAACGTCCCGTTTACGAACAGATGAAATAATTTCAGCAATTTCTTTACAGAATAATCCACAACAAAACTTAGAAACATTTCGTAGACAAATACAGGCCCCAAAATTATGTCTACTGCAAAACAATTCAACCGACAACCAGTTTGACGCCACAATTGTATTGCTGGAGCCCGTTCAAATCTGTTCCATTTCAAACTGTGCATGCACACACACTGTGGTTTCTCGAAATGCATACTAATTAGGTAACTTGTCACTAATAAAAGTCACCGAAAACATTTTGAGCAATTTTGAGCAATAGTACTAGAGTGAAATATAAACGTGTCTCTGCACTCTTCATGAATTTCGTAACTTGCTATGACCATGGAAGGTACTAACGGCCGGCCGTTGTACCTTCCATGCTATGATCATGGTAATGAGAAAACCTGTGCTTACTTTCAACAGTTAGCTGGAGTCTGATCGAAAACCTGTCTCAAAAAATACTTTTACATCATTTTTCCAATTATTTTTTCAGCTCGTAACGATGGTATCAGTCAACTTAGAACTAACATGTATGCTATCGTAAAGCACAATTTTACTGAAAAGATGAGTTTTTTATTTCTCATGAATATTAATTTATGCAAATGAGACTATTATTTCAACCAATCATGACATGCACCCCCCCCCCCCC